GACAACCTAATCTCAAAGTATACTGAAAAATGTATGTTATAGTATTTTACTGCATTGGCCACAAAATCAAACCATTTTGTCACATGTAAATCGTTTTTTTTGTAAAACATTTGTTTGTTACCATAGGTTTAAACCGCCGAAGGTTTGAAAAAGGATGAAGATTTACTATAATATTAAAATAATAATAAAATAATTTAAAATTAATAAATAACGATCATTATTTAAAACTATACATATAATTATACTTAATGTCTTCCATCATATTAACCTAGTTATTTATAAAAAAAAAAAAATTATTTTAAGTTTTGAATTCAAAAATTGAAGACATAAAATTAAAGAAATGATTACATTTCATTCGTCACAAATCAATTATTTGAGATTAATCTAAATAGATTGAAGCAATTAATAACAGTAAATATCTTGACTAAAATAGGAATCACAAAAACAATAATTTATTTTTATTTTTTAAACAAACTTAGGTAATAATTTTGTGAGAAAGGTGAGGATGACTGGGATCTGATGAACTGGTGTTGACATAGTCAAATACAGAGCTCTTCAATTATAGTTTCTTTCTTTCTTTTTTGGTAGAAAGTGTCCAATTATAGTTAAACAATTATTGAGAAAGTTCAGCATAAAGTTTTTTTTTTTCATGATCATGACCTTATCAATAGGGTTGGCAAAATAATGGGCTCTGCAGTTAATTAATGATGGTGAACTTATTAACCATGATTTTTTTAAATAATTAGGGAAATATTAGCAGAAAAGTCAATCTTCCAAGTAGTCTTTGCTGTATACACTTATCCCCTGGAAGAGCAAGATCGGATTATTAAGGAAAAAAGATATATGAAACGTATTTTCTATCTTTCATTGTTTTCCCATTTCATTTGAAAAACAAAATTTAATTATAGATGGATTAGCAAAAGTAGTAACTTATTAGGAAAAAATTAATTATCTCTTAATGCTAAATTTATGGATGCATTTTTCACCAAATTACCTAATCAATGTGTAAACTTGTTCCACTAAATTTAGTCTCACGACTTTTTCTTTCTATCTATTTTTATTGTTGTTCTTATTAGTATTATTGATCGGAAAGTGCAAATCCAAATGGTCTTTTGGTAAATCAAAGAGTAAAAAGGTGAAAACATAAACAGAGTAAATTATAAATTAGTCCCTTTGGTTTTGAAAAATAAATTAACTATTTTTTTAAAAAAATAATTATTTATTATTTTGCATTATTTTATAATTTTTTTATTTTTAAAAATAGAAAAAACAAATAGATATTATGGAATGATTGGTGAAATTTTTTTTAAATAAAGTAATATTAAATTGACATGATCAATAGTAGTTAAGAAACTAAATAATTAATTTTAAAATAAAAAAGAGTAATTTATAATTTATAATTTATTTGACATAAATACAATGAAAAACATGAGGATTAAAGAGTTGAATGATCAGTTTAGTACACTAACCAGACCAAAAGCTCTTTTGTTCCCTTGTCTAAGGCCTTTATCTTTCGCGCATATTTGTCTGCGCATGATTTGATTTCTCATGCGTGTCAAGAACAGCGAGTTCTCCAGTGACTCTATCGACGCTCCTTGCTATCTCTAAAATAAAGATATTATTTTTACTCGTTTTCCTAAAATGGAAAAGCTACGTCTCCTTTTCTTACTGTCCTTGTTTTTGTATTTTAAAAAACAGTAATTATTTAGTAGTAAATATAGTATATTTAGTAGTAAACAGCTTAAAAATTAATCATTTATTTTTATGGTTGAGTTAACTTATAGTTTTCGTACCTGAACGATAAGGAATAATATATTTATTTTGAGCTTTAAAGATAAAAACTGTAATCTTTAACTTATTAGTTTATAATCTTTTTTACGATAGTCGAACCTTGACGATGTATATTAAGTCATAATCGGTAATAATATAACAAAAATAATTCAAAAAACTAAACTTTTATTAGATGAATATATTTTTTGCATATAAAGTGAGTATAAAGACATTTTCTTTATCGCATTGATTTCGCAAGCCTCGTCTAGCCATCGTTGCCAACTAACTGAAATCATTCTATCTGAGATGAGTTCTTAATATAATGATATTTAAATAGAGCATGACGAAATTTGTTTTGATGATGATCACATATGTGTATCACATTTGGTTTGCTTTTTTTTTTTTCTTTTTACATCTTTCTTTTTGATGTGTGGTTATTGGTTTTATTAATGCTCATAAGTGTAGTAATTAACATCTTTTTTTCTTAAAAAGGTTAAAAATGTTTATAAATACTACGACCATATGCTATTTGATAATAATTATGAATTTGTATGGTCGCAATTAGATGTAATAATCTTTCGTTATGTATTGTTGTATTTGTCTCTCTCTTATTTGGATCTAATATCTTACTAGAACACTCGTCGTCTCTAACATCTAATCTATTAGTAATTTTATTTTGATAAAGGATTAAAAAAATATGGGATTTCTATCATGTAAAAACATATAATCCACGATGATTGTATGTAGTCCATGAAGAATATTTAAATTTCAATCCGGATCTCTCTCTCATTTATAGAGATAGGGAACTTCTCCTCTCCTTTAATCCATCAAGTGCCACACGAGATTTTTTTTTTTTCACAAATCTACCTTTAAGGTTTATTCAATTTCAAAAGGCTTTTGTTTTTTAGTTTTTAGGGTTTTTTTTTTTCTTTTAAAGTATCCCAAACATAAAAATATAAATTAATTTTTTATTTTTTTATCGTATATATAAGACAAAAGTAGCTATCAAAAGAGTTTTTTTTTTTTATATATAAAAATTTAAATTTGAAATCATTTACTTAAAAGTTGGATCTACAAGCAAAAGAATCATAAAAAATTTCTTAAAACTAATTGTTATTAAATATTTCTTGAAATTAATTTAATTTCTCAAAAAAATTAGTTTTTTTACTATATAGATCCATTATATTTTTAATCATTCAACAAGTAAAGATAGATCCATAAACAATAAAATCTTCCAAACTCCTGTGAAACTAGCTATTATTAAATATATTTTTTAAAAATAATTTTAATTAAAAAAAAGCTTAAAACGATGTTTTAAATATCTTATAACAAAAAAAAGATAAAAATAGATCGAAATTTAATAATTTAGAATTCAAATAGTTTAAATTAATATTATAAATTTTATTTTATCATATTCTAATAATTTAAAGGTAAATTATACTATTTAACCTACCGTAAATTGATTTTTCACCCTTCTTTGATACATATCTCATTATTGTCCCAAAAAAAAAAAAATCTAATGAGATACCAACAACTACGAAAATATGGCGTGTTATGCGTTGTAAAACTTAAAACACAGAAAAGGAAAAAAAAAAAAAAGGGGGAGAGAGAGAGAGAGAGAGGTGGTGAAAATCATGACAACCCTTTATCCAAATAAGCTATTATTATTATTATTATTTAACTTAACCAAGGCCCAAGGGAGGCAGGCAATTAACCCATAAGTTGTTTCTGACCGTTTGCTCCACCCACTCTCCACACTCTTCTTCAAAGCGCGTGGATAAGAATACAAAAGCGCAAGTAGCTGTCGAAAATCTTAACGACTTTGGGAAACGGAATCAGTTGTACGAATGACGGCTGCTCTCTCTTTCTCTCAATATCAAATATCAAATCATAACAACATTAGTACCAATAGTAAATAATAATAATAAAATAGTAGTAATATTTTTTTTCTCAAGGAAACTATAAATTTAAATCCTCCATAGTCCAATTTCAGTCCATATTTTGAAATATTTAAAGATATTAAATTTGAAAATTTAATAATTTTTTTCATTACCATTCATAAAAAAAGTCAATTCTATAATAAATAATAAATTATAATAAGATATATTTTTCATAATGACACGATGCATCTAAAATAAACTTTAAATTTTTACTTTAAAATTTAAATTGAAAAAAAAAGATATAAATTTTCTTGATGTCCTTTCTTAGGTCTCGAGATTATGTTTTTTAATTTTATCTTAAAAATCATCAATAATTTTAATTAGCAATAAAAAAAAATAAAAATAACCACTTTGTGTTTCTCATCATAAATATAGAAAAATTAGTTATATTTTCTTATAAAAATGAGTGTAAAATTAACTATATATCTAATGTGAATATTAAATTTTTCTCACTTACACACACATATATATTTAAAAATAAATTTAATATATATGTCATATAAATAGTAAAACATTCTTATAAATGTAATTAATCAAACACGTATGTACATATGTTTTTTAAAAAAATTATAAAATTCGAGTTTATGCTTATCACCTAATAATGTTTTTTAAAAATATTATCAAACAAGTAAAAAAATAAAAACTCTGTAAAATATTAAATTATATTAAAGAAAATCAAAACATAATAATAGTAATGTTTCACTCAATAAATTATTTTTATCTAAAATATTAAATTAAATTTAAAAAATTAAAATGCAATAGTAATAACATGTTACTTTTTTTTAAAACTATTTTTGCTTAAGATAAAAAATATTTAAATTAACTTACATAATAATAATTAATTTTTTTCTCAAACTATAATAAAAACATTGACCGTTATATTTAGAATAGTTTAATAAATTTCCTTGTATGTTAAATCTAAATTTTTTAACGCAAAAGGTAAAATAATGAAACAAATCTCTTAAGCCAAAATACCAATCCCTTGGATATCAAACAAAGCTGGTCAGCCACTAACGTCTCTTCACCGCCGTTTATTACACGGTCCTTCTCTTTCTCTCTCTACTGTCCTGTATTTCAGTCTCTCTCTCACTTCATAAATAAATTCTGTGCTATGTTTTAACTCTCTTCCTTACAGTTCACGCCAAACGAATGCTCCTCGTCTCACTCTCTCTCTCTCTTACAATGACAGAAGAGAACGTCAAGACTCCATAGTCTCTGTTTCTTGTCCATGTTTTTCATTTCGAACTTTACTGGTCTCTTAGTTCTTGTTTTCCTGTAAGTTCGTACGAAATGAAAGAAATGAAGCTACTGGGGGGAATTGGGCACAGTTTAGCAATGGCAGTAGTGCTTTTGCTTCTTGTGTTTCCTCTTGTTTACCCACTTAACGATGAGGGTACTACTCTTTTCCTTGCGTTTGTTTGTTAGTTTTGGAAAAAAATTCAGCTTCTCTTTTTGCATTTTCTATCTCGGGGCTCCTTAAAAATGGTGTCTTTAGCTTTAAAATGGTTCGAGTTGTGAGTGAAAGGACAAGGGAATGCTACGAGAGAACCCCATAAAAGTTGCGAGTTTTTAAAGATTTTCTTGGTTTGACTTTGTTTAGTAAATTATCCTGCTTGATCAAAAAGTTTAGAAAGTCGGAATTTTTTATATATTTTTAAGGGTTTCTTCTATTTTTAAATGGGATGTTTTTAGTATCAAAAGAGAGTGATTGAAGTGAGGATTTGTTGCAGGGAAAGCTTTGATGTCTGTTAAGGAATCATTCAGCAATGTTGCTAATGTACTTCTTGACTGGGATGATGTGCACAATGAAGATTTCTGTTCTTGGCGTGGTGTGTTTTGTGACAATGCCAGCTTCTCTGTTGTTTCTCTGTAAGCCCTTTAGAGATAGTTACTTTCATCCACTCTCTTTATTTGTTAAGTTAGATTTTTTATTGCAAATTTGGATTTTAATGACTTGCTGTTGCGTGTTCTCTTTCAAGTAACCTGTCAAATTTGAACCTTGGTGGTGAAATTTCTCCTGCCATTGGAGATTTGAGGAACTTGCAATCCATGTATGGTGCTGAACTTTTCAACATTTTTTTTTTTTTGCAACACTCGTTTGCGATCCTTTAGTTCTGTTTGGTGGTTTTTTGATAATACTTCTCTGCTCTTTTGAAAATGGCAGAGACTTTCAAGGGAATAAATTGACTGGTCAAATCCCAGAAGAGATTGGCAATTGTGCTGCTTTATATAATCTGTAACATTCCGTTGTCTTCTGTTTTTTTTTTTTTTTTTTTTTTTTTGGGGGAAAAAGTTGATTTTCCGCTGTTTTTTTCGGTTTTTACTGATTTGTGGTTTGCAATGTGGAATCTAGGGATCTTTCTGATAACTTGCTTTATGGTGACGTTCCCTTTTCTCTCTCTAAGTTGAAGCAACTTGATTCCTTGTAAGTTCCACATTTTTCTAGTTTCATTTAGTATGCTTAAACTGGAGTTTCTGTAATATCGCGATTGAGTAATTAATTTTGTCCTGCATTATAGAAATTTGAAGAACAACCAGCTTTCTGGTCCAATCCCTTCAACCTTAACCCAAATTCCAAATCTGAAAACACTGTGAGTTCTAGTTATTAAACTTATATGTTGTTTATGAATCCCTAAGTTCTTCCAATTTGTACTGATATTATTGGATTGGTGCTTGTGTTCCTTTCAGCGACCTTGCTAAGAACCAGCTGACTGGTGAGATACCTAGACTGATCTACTGGAATGAAGTCTTACAATATCTGTGAGTACTCCATTTTGTGGCAGAGTTAAGTACTTGTTAGATTAGTTATGCTTTTGACCTATTGATTGACCCTTAATAGGATTGTTTGGGTTTGCTGTTGTAAACCCATGCATTTGTGTGCTTCCGAATGCCATTATTTTCGTTGATGTGTTTCAATTTTTTGTCCCAGTGGATTACGCGGCAATTTGCTGACTGGAACATTGTCTGAAGATATGTGTCAGTTGACTGGCTTGTGGTATTTGTAAGTGGTCAACCTGTCTTGAACATTGTTTGCTTAGTTTCCAGTTAGTTGGGACTTAAAATTTACTTGTTCTTCTTTCCAGTGATGTGAGAGGCAATAATTTAACTGGCACCATCCCTAGTAGCATCGGCAACTGTACGAGCTTTGAGATACTGTATGTTTTGTTCCACAGACTAATATTGACTTGTTCAAAAGTTATTATGATGGTGCTTTAACTTTTAATCTGATAATTACAGGGATATATCATACAATCAGATCACTGGGGAGATACCATACAATATTGGCTTCTTGCAAGTTGCTACTCTGTATGTGTTAGATTTTGCGCGTATTTTTTTGTAACGTAAAACCCTTTTTAAATGATTGCAAGCAAGATGATAGAGTTTCATACCATGTTTATGGCAAATCTTAACAAGTAGTTGTCGATCTTTATTTTAGGTCTCTTCAAGGGAATAATCTCACCGGGAAGATTCCAGAGGTGATTGGTTTAATGCAGGCCCTGGCTGTTCTGTAAGTATGAAATTTAAATGATTGAAAACTTCTTTGACCGCATGGTGATCTGTGGTATGTACTTATTAATATATATATATATATATATATATATATTTTTTGTTTTATAGGGATTTGAGTGACAATGAGCTAGTTGGACCAATTCCCCCAATACTTGGCAATTTGTCATACACCGGGAAACTGTGAGTTTATTTTATTACCATTATTGTTTTTGAATGGTGGGGACTGAGTTCTATTTGGGAAACGCTAAAATTTTCTGCTTGCTCTTTCTGTGATTGTATGAGATTTTCTTCTTTGAATGTGCTCCAGGTATCTCCATGGAAACAAGCTTACAGGACCAATTCCACCAGAGCTTGGAAATATGTCAAAGCTAAGCTACTTGTAAGATTCCTGTCATGATTTTGAGTATTCCAAATGTATTTGAATATATGCATGCATATTTTATTTTATTCAGTGACTGACCAGAAACAACTTCTTTTTTTTTTTTTGTAAGGCAACTGAATGACAACCGACTGGTCGGCAACATTCCTCCTGAACTTGGGAAGCTGGAACAGTTGTTTGAATTGTGAGTCTCCTGTGCTTAAGTGCTTTCTTCCTTTGCATGTAACCACTTTTTAACTGAGTTCTTGTTTGGATCAGGAATCTTGCTGGCAACTATCTTGAAGGGCCCATTCCACACAACATCAGCTCTTGCAGGGCATTGAACCAATTGTAGGATTTCTTATATCCAAGCTGTTTGCAACTATTTGTCAAGTGTCTTAGGTTTCTGATGTGAACTTTGCAGCAATTAACTGGGTATTGATATGAATATTTGTAGTAATGTGCATGGTAATCACTTGAGTGGAATCATCCCTTCAGGTTTCAAGGATCTTGAGAGTTTGACTTACTTGTGAGTTCTTAAGGCCATATTTGGAAAGTTAAATCATATTTTAGTTGGACTTTGCACCCATTTTCTGTCAATTAACTGAAATGTATGAATCTTCAGAAATCTTTCTTCAAACGATTTCAAAGGTAGTATTCCCACTGAGCTGGGACACATTATAAATTTGGATACATTGTAAGTTTCTTAGCACTATATACTTTGTGAGCAATCTATTGTAACACTTAGTTTTGGAGCACTTTGAAACTGCAATGCACTTGTCTAACAAATCTCAATGTTTTCAGGGATCTTTCCAGCAATAACTTCTCAGGGCCTATCCCAGCTTCTATTGGTGACCTAGAGCACCTTCTTACATTGTATGTTTCTCTAGAAATGCAATTTTTCTTTGAATTTTAATTGTTTCCAACAACCTACTAATCGAGTTTCTTTTGTGCACTCTTCTGATGCATACTTATCTAGGAATTTGAGCCGCAATCATCTTCATGGACGATTGCCTGCTGAATTCAGGAATCTAAGAAGTATACAAATTATGTAAGCTTCTTACAAGACTGTGCCTTTTATCCTTGGATGTACTTTATTACATTTTACTCTATCCCCATTCCTGATTATGCACCATGGTACTTTTTCACCTAGGGATATGTCTTTCAACAATGTGACTGGTAGCATTCCAGTGGAATTGGGTCAGTTGCAGAACATTGTTTCTCTGTAAGTTCAAAGCTCAGAAAATTTCACTGATGTACTCTCTTTAAATTGTGATATATTGTTGCCTTGTAGTTCTAATTTGTTGATGGATGACAGGATCCTGAACAACAATGATTTGCAAGGAGAAATCCCTGTTCAGCTTACCAATTGTTTCAGCCTTACCAATTTGTAAGCTGTTTTACCCGGACTTTTCAATGTTCATTCCTAATAGTTTTATGGAATCTTGCTGAAAATGATGTTTTATGTGTTAGGAATTTCTCATACAACAATTTGTCAGGAATTGTGCCACCTATTAGAAACTTGACACGGTTTCCACCAAACAGGTATGGAGAGTCATGTTATTATTTCTTTGGAAGCCTTGCCAATTTGTAAGCTGTTTTATGCGGACTCTTCAATGTTCATTCTTAATAGTGTTATGGAATCTTGCTCAAAATGGCTTTTTGTGTTGGGAATTTCTCATACAACAGTTTGTTGCAGAAACAGTTTCCTATAGAATTCTTGTAATGATTATTTGTACTGTCTCACCAGCTTTATTGGAAATCCGTTGTTGTGTGGCAACTGGTTGGGATCAATATGTGGCCCTTATGTCCCTAAGTCTAAAGGTAACACCTTGTCCACTGTGTGTTCTTTTGAATGCTTGTTTTTGTTATAGGCATGGTCAATTCTAATTGAAGAAGGTTTTGGAGTTGTGTCTTGAACTTATCTATCTGTTTTCTACTGTTCAGTGATTTTTTCTAGAGCTGCAGTTGTCTGTATCACGATGGGTTTCATAGCATTATTGTCCATGATTATAGTTGCGATTTACAAATCCAACCAACAGAAACTGTTGATGAAGGGATCTAAGAAAACTCTACAAGGCATGCATTTTACTTGATATTTGTTACTGTTGTGTTTTATGTTTTGCTTCACTTTTCCAAATCCTCATGGTTGGTTTATTTCTGCCAGGTCCTCCCAAACTTGTGGTTCTTCACATGGACATGGCTTTTCACACCTTTGATGACATAATGAGGAACACTGAGAATTTAAATGAGAAGTATATTATAGGTTATGGTGCTTCTAGCACGGTGTACAAGTGTGTGTTGAAAAATTCCCGACCACTTGCAATTAAGCGACTCTACAATCAGTATCCATACAACTTGCATGAGTTTGAAACAGAACTTGAGACCATTGGCAGCATCAGACACCGCAATATAGTCAGCCTACATGGCTATGCACTGTCTCCTCATGGGAACCTTCTCTTCTATGACTACATGGAGAATGGTTCTCTGTGGGATCTGCTTCATGGTTGGTGAACTAAACAATTCCATCTGTTACCCTCTTCCTGTCTGGTTCACATGTTCAATGTTCATGTTATATAGCTACTAACGGTTCTCTGTTGGTATTAATGGCAGGGCCATCCAAAAAGGTAAAACTTGACTGGGAAACACGCTTGAAAATAGCAGTTGGAGCTGCTCAAGGACTTGCTTATCTTCATCATGATTGCAACCCTCGGATCATCCACAGGGATGTGAAGTCCTCAAATATCTTACTGGATGAGAATTTTGAAGCTCATTTGTCTGATTTTGGAATTGCTAAATGCATACCAGCTGCAAAAACTCATGCCTCAACTTTTGTTCTGGGGACTATTGGCTACATAGATCCTGAGTATGCTGGCACATCTCGGCTCACTGAAAAATCGGATGTTTATAGCTTTGGCATTGTTCTCTTGGAACTACTAACTGGGAAGAAGGCTGTTGATGACGAGTCTAATTTGCAGCAACTGGTATGTATCTAAAAAATTGTGCTTATAACGTTTGATTGCTTATGGTGGGTACTCAACATGGTTCAGTGGCAGCATTATTTCCAATTTAGTAGTTAATTTTTAAGCATTTGATTGTTTATTTTGCTGACAGTAACTCCAACCTTTGTTAATTGTTATTTCTTCAGATTTTATCCAGGGCTGATGATAATACTGTAATGGAGGCTGTTGATCCAGAGGTTTCAGTTACATGCATGGATTTGACCCATGTAAAGAAGAGTTTCCAACTAGCACTACTGTGCACCAAGCGACACCCTTCGGAGAGACCAACCATGCAGGATGTGTCCAGGGTCTTGGTTTCATTTCTTCCAGCTCCTCCTACAAAAGCTTCTCTTCTTCCAAAGCCTGTTGACTATGCGAAATTTGTCGTCAACAATGGACAGCAGCAGCCATCAGTTATCCAGCAACAACAACCTCTGCAGGAAAACAACTCTTCTGATGCCCAGTGGTTTGTCAGGTTCAAAGAAGTTATATCAAAGAACACTCTTTAATTTGCTTACGCCCTTGCACCTACAAAAATCCAGTAATAGAAAATCCCAAATTTTTGGCCCAAATGGGTTTGCTTGTTTGAACTGCCCCTCCTGGTAGATTGAACTTCTGGGATTGTTTCAGCATGTTTTTGCACATATTAAACTAAAATGCTTTTTTACAGAGCAAGAGGGGTTAAATCCCGCTCTTCGGATAGCTGCTTTTGTAATACTTTTATACAAGTAATTCTGCTAAACTCTGATTTATTTGGTTATATTTTTCTAGACCCATTTGGTGCAAGTGTTAGATTTATAGCTTTTCATAGAATGAAAAATGCACTCCCTGAGTATCTCTGGAGTGTCAGCTACTTGCTTTAATAACAGACTGACTAAAAAATAATTTGAAAAATAGCATTAAAAATACTTAAAATAGATGCTCTGTACATTTGTGATCTCCAAAACTTTTGTTGGGTAGTGAACTATCTCTACAGAATTGAACACGAACACGATTTCCCCTTTGGAAGCAACCGATATGACAAATGCTCAAATGGATATAGGATTGAAAATGCAGAAGTTTGTCTATGGATGTGCTGGATCCTCCAACCTCATGCCAGTTCAAGAATTAAATCCAGGAAAACCATTCTGGCTCGCAGTGTAGTATATCCAAGCTCTTGTAGTAATTAACCGCCAAGTGACAGGCAGCAAACGTGAAAAACTCCAGGAAAGCATCAATGCTTCCTGCTAACGTTGATCTGCTGGTTGATACAGGGTCGATACAGCGCATCCTCCGACGATCATCAACTCTATCATGTGAAAGAATGAGAATATGGTTGATACAGAGCATCCTAACTCCATCATATGAAAGAACGAGAATGGTTTTTGAATGATAAAAAAAAGGTTTTATCAATTGAGAAACAATCTGAAGGCATAGTAGTTCATGTAAAAGGGGAACTTATGTATATATACCTCATTTTCTAGGTTCAAATAGCCTGGTGCGTTCTCTTTTGAGCCCTATATTCAAACAATGGAAGTTTTCGTGTACAATAAGAAAGCAATGCATTGCAAGTATAAATGACAAACTTCTGAGGGAAGTTTGCAGGAACCAACCTTGCAATGTAATGGCAATTTCGACTGAAGTTTTGCCTTGGAATGAACTTCAGATGCTAGGGAGAGCTGGTACCATGCCAAAAAACATAAGAAACAATCCTGATGACTGGTTATAAAGAGATCACCTAAGACCTTATTCCAATGAAACGAACCTTACTAAATGATTCTATTGTTGGGTTGATCGGAAACTTCTTGGTAGGAGAATTTGGTTCCTTCGGAGAAGTAAAAACACAGGTCTAAAGTAAGCCAAACAATCAAACATTGACACTGCAAATTAAAAACGGGAAATTTGAAATTCACTTCAACCTTCTTATTGAGGCTGCGAGGCTTAAGTTTATCAAGTGCTTCTGATTTCTCCTTTAAGGCAGAATTGGACTTTTCTCTGCAAAAGGGGTGCAGCTTCTTTAGAAGTAATCATACTGAAAATTTAGAACAAGTGAAAGCAGAAAGGAAAATTGAAAATGATGCATGTTTTTTCTTCAAAAATCGACAAAGGTTATCATTACTGAAACTGTTACCTTCTAGAATCTCTAGTTCCATTTTGGGAAATAGGGTTAGAACTACAAACATTTGCTGCCTGAAAAGAGAGAATCGTTTACTTGAGCAATGCAGAACATATAGAAATCAATGCAGTTATCTTTAGCATCAAGAGGTATTAAGGACAAGAAAGAAATTTAGCATTAATATGACTCTTGATCACCTACATTATCAATAGATGAATGTTGCATAGTCCTCTCCATTGTCCTTGCTCTCTCCAAAGTCCTAAGGTGAAAAACCTGAAGACCATGAAAATAGGATCACGTGACAATCTTGCTCATTCAAGTCTGAAGAAATTAGAGAGAAAGAGGTGATAAAGCACATCAACACTAGTTTACTAATTACTTGAAAGTCTGGCTGCTGTGGAGTGCTTTTTCTGGGAGGAAGGAATGAAGGAGCCTTGAGAATCTGCCAAGCACAAAACAAATGTACAAAGATGAAAAATTATTAAATGGAAGACAAGAAAAAACACAATACAGTCACTGAAAGTACCAACTTTTCGATTCAATGGCCTTGCTCTAAAAGCACAAGAAGCATTTGGTTTCGCATTTTCATCTGACCCTAAATTAAGCTTAGACCTGAAAATTAAGAACAAGCAATAGAATGATAGAAAAAAACGTGGAAAAAGCATCCTATATAAACTTATCAAAGGAGATGCCAAATAAGAGATTGATAGTTCAATACCTGTGCAATTCTGCCCTATAAGCTGTTCTAAGTACAGGTTCTATGGGAACTGTAACTTTTGGTCTGCCTAATGTGGGGTTATCATCAACCTGTAACACCATTCAAAATTGTCTAGAAAATCAGTAGACGACTGGAAAACTGGAATTAGACCACGAGGCAGCACCAAACTGTGGACAAGTCGTAAGCGATTATGAACCGAAACTAACAGTTGAATTAGAAACCTTTTTCGGCTCCTTGTGCTGAAAGAGTGCTTGATGCTTTAAACGAGCAACCTGAACAGCAAATTAAGCAAGTAGTCTTCAGACAAATTTAACACTGACAAGTTGTATGTCCTGACCTCCATTTGAACAGCAAAGTATACATAAGCAAATCAAAGCCAGAATGATCCACCTTGCGCAAGTAACCAGCCTCGAGCTTTTGCCTTTTGGTAGCTTGGTATCCGATAATAGAAGAACCCCTTGAATTCTTCTCTTCATTTCCCACAGAGAACTTGTTAAACCTGCAAAGTTAAGAGCCCCAGAACAAATGAAACGAAACAGAACAGAACATAGATGAAAAGTACTTGTGGCAACTTCAGAAATAACTAGCACCTTCTGATCAAACGCGTGCAATGATTCTCCGGCCAGCAACTTTTCTTGGCCAGCTGACTCGCAGTAGGGTTCATAAAAGAATTTTTCGATCTGGGCGACTTCGCTCGGGACTTAACTTCAGCTTTTGCAATATCTTGAACTATGTGATTATCAGATTCTAATCATGTTTGAAAAAAGCAAAATAATAATAATAATAATAAAGAATAAATAACTAATCACAATTTACACAAATATTAACGTTCATAAAAATATAAAATAAAATTATTAACATGATTTCAAATTAGTTTACTCTACCTATGTAATTATGATGATCTGTTGAAGTTACTACAGGTTCCATGCTAGCAGAACTTGGCCTCCAATGAGTCTTTATAAGAAAAGCTAAAAAAAAAAAATCCAAATTCTCAAAGAATAACAATTGCATTCAAAATTTAACTAAAATTGTCGATTAATTAGGGAACAAATAATAACAATTATCAATTACTTACGTGAAGGTGGATAACTTGGTGCAATTTCAAACCAAAATTCAGCTTCTTTAGCCTCCAATTCAGTTTCTTGCCTAAAAAAATCATAGCATTTTGGCGCATCAAACTCGTAATCAATGTCAATATCAACATCATCACCATCAATATCTCGAACCCAGATTGGCTCATGAATAAAGAATTCTTCCTCCATTTCCACTTCCATATCCATATCTCTTCAAAATCGCATTTCACGTACAGAAGCAAGAGAGCCCATCAAGGTTTTCACGTTCAAATTCTTGGTTTTTGGCTCCAAAGGAGAGAACAAGAGGACTTCATTGATAATGTAGAAGGGTTTTTTCCCCTGCTGTTTTTTTCAAAAATGACAAAAGGGAGGTTAACTTTTTGTTTTTTGTATAAATTAAAAGGTCAAGAATGTAGCATGATTTTCTCTCACTTTCTCTCTCTTTCCAGTTTCCTCCATAAAATTTCCCGGAAAAGGAGAGAGAAAGAGAAAGGTGTAATGGCATGTTCAAGAGTCCATTTAATGTGCTCTGTTTTTTATGATCTCAAACCTTCCGGGAAAATAAATGAGAGAAAATGAGAGAAAGTTGTTATCTAGCAGAGGAAAGAAACCCTAGTCTTCTTCTTCTTCTTCTTTTATGAGTGGATGAGATAATTTTATCGAAGTGAACGGCGATAATTACGTTGTGATCAAGAAATGATCGCACATTGAAGGAAAGAACGTTACATGCAGAGGACGGCAAGGCGCGTTTTATACTTGTTGTGTCGGGGGTTTTTTTAAGGTTTGTTTGGTTTGGTTTTTAGAGGGACGATTCTAAAATTTGAACATGTGGGCCACTATACTACTACAAAAAATTCAATCCTTTAATTATGACCATTTTACCCCAATAGTTTTTCACTAAAGAGTAAAATTCATATGTGCCCCTGTGGTATTTTTTTTTAATCTTTTTAATTAAATATGATATAAAACAAATCTAACATTATTGAATATTGTGACAAACCAGTCCTTCTATCTACCTTCGTTGACCATGTATCATCACATGATTGATAAAAAATTAAATGGAAAGATGATTTGTTCAAATATATAATAATATAAAATCTGTGCATCATGCACGTGTAAAAAAATTAAAATAAATAATATTAGATAATACAAAAGCATGAAGTAAATTTCATCCTTTGTAGAAAATATATTTATTTATAGGACCTGGGCTACAAGTTATGATCGATGATGAGATGTTCATATTCGAGTTATTCTGATCGTAATACAAATATGGTAAAAAATTCCTTCAAATGCGTAATGTGATTTTGCTCATGTATGCATAACGAAAGCCTACATCATATACGGAACTCATCAAAGTTTCGAAACATAAGAATATTTGAAAGAATAAGAAAAAGGAAATTGTCATAAAATTACCATAATATTAATTCAATTTTAATGGAAAAACAGGTGAGTTTTATGTAGATTCGTGAGGTTTCATGTTATTCTAAAAATAATTAATAATACTTATTTTCATAAAAGATAGACACAAGGAAGTGAGAAAAATAAAAGAGAGATAATTTTTTTTAAAAAAAGAGATAGATTAAATTGAAATATTATTTTCATTTTTGGTAAGTTGGGATGTCATTCTCTCTTTCTCTCTCTCTCTTTTATTTTTTATTTTTATATATTTCTCCTTGAAATAAGCTTATAAAACAAATATTATTAGTTATTGTATGATTATTTTTTAAAAAAAATTATAGATTAATTTTTATTATCATATCACAGACAGTGTATCAAGTGGTGATTTTTTTATTTTTTTTTCAGAAAACAGACAATATCATGACAAATTTTATTAAGTGAAAGATAATTATAAAGAGGGACAAATTCAATCTTATCCGAATAAAGAGAACAAAGAAGCTTAAAACCTCAAAACAGACAAACGTTTTACTTTCTGTAATTATGAAGACTTAATCTATTATGCTTGTAGGCTAATCCGATTCCACTAGATCCGAATCCAATAACAATTCTTTGCATAAAGTTAAACCATCACAAAGAGCAAGAATTTCAATAAATAGCTCCTCGAGTACGAAGTGGCAATTGTTGTTTTCTTTAAATTAACTATAATGACTTTAATAGCTCCTCAAGTACATTGCTAATAGATGGAATTTGGACAGTTTATGATCAAAAGCAGATTAACCATTTTTCTGATGCATGCATAATTGATGAAGCCATTGGATTCAATAAATAGCATTATCGTCACCAGTTGGTTTTTGTTTGATTAATTTAAAATTATGGGACCTATGATGTTGAAAATACATCTTGTTATTATGTATATTATAGCTTGTCAACTCCAAGTTTTGTCATATTGGCTTGCTTAGTAATTGAATGACAACACAGAAAAAAACAACTCTCAATCATAGTTTGAAATTTAAACCAAGAAAGAATACAAAGAAAAAAAGGTGATTTTGATGAGCAAACAGTAATAAATGTTTGTCTTTTTTCATACAATTTTGTCAGGGAAATGAAGCTTCCCCATGAGATGAGAAAGTCGCCATGAAATAGACATGCTCTCTCTCTAGTCCTTTCCTCTTTGTCCAAATTCATATAACTCCATGCGGGGAGAATCTTTTTGTTCTTGGTAGAGTTAAAGAAGAGCTTGGTTTTTTATATTTAAATTAGATGAAGCTTGCCACCAAAAAAAATGAAGGAAAAAAAAAGAAAAACAAATGGTAGCTCCTAGTGAGAATTCAAAATTTGGTGGATGTTATTGATTATAAGGTGACTATAAGACATCTTTGATTGGCAAGATCATATCCCATGAAATTTAAAAATCTACATTCACTAAGGAGGAAAAAAAGAGAGAAGCAATTGATTTAATTGATATTATTTTAAGGAAAAAAAAAGGGATTTGATAGGTGTTTAATTAGTTAATTGTAAACTATGTTAGAGGAGAAAATCTATGCAGGAAAATGACATATACAAGCAATCAATTTTCATTTTTCATGGAAAAAATAAGAGTTAATTATATATTGATAAATTCATGTTATACTGTTTGTGTGTATGTGTTGAATGAATTTTATTTAATTAAGAATATATAAACACACACACTTAGGGATATTCATGCTTAAATTATAAATTAGTCCTTCTATTTTTAAGAAACAAATTAATTAGTACTTCTTGTTTCAAAAATTAATTATTTAGTTCCTTGACTAATGTTGAACATGCATAATTTAATATTATTTTATTTCAAAAAAAAATTCATATTTTTCTTATCACTCTTTCCATTTTATTTGTTTTACCTTTTCTATTTATTCAAATAAAAAATAAAAATAAATTAAAAAAAAGCAAAAAGGATTAAATTATAAGAAGATGTAAAAATATAAGGACTTAACAACTAATTTTTAAAATAAGAGAGATTGGTTAATTTATTTATCAAAACTAAAAGAACTAATTTATAATTCACTTGATATTCTTCGGTGTATCAACTGAAATTAATGCGTATTTAAAATTTCAACTAAAAATGATAAGACAAGGAGTAGATTTTAGTAAGCTAGTCGATTGTTATGATGGGCCTGTGGCTTTCCAGATTTCTCAGTTTTACACTATAGTCCTTAAACATTAGTTTTTTTCAATAAAATCCCACGTTGGCTCCTATAAATTTACGTGTATTCCATTGAAGTCTCCACCTACTTCATAACTTAGTCCCACACGTTTACCCTTTCTCTTCGAGCTCCTCTATTGAAGCTAGTAGTAATAAATATTTTCTTTCTTACAATTTTGGTCATCTTTTTGCTAGAGAAAAAGCCAACCTACGCAAAGAAACATGTTCTCCATTGCAATTTTTTTTTTTTTGAAATTTATTGGATTCTAATTCTTAGCCAAATTTTTTTTTTTTCATGATGCATTTAAAGGAAATTATTTATTTATTTCACTTAGATTATTATTCACATTTTATGAAGGTTGTGAGATGACCAAATTTGTAAGAAAGAAAGACCCTTTTTTTTTTTTCAAATTTTCAGTTTCGTCAAAGGAAAAAAAAAAAAAGGAAGATTTTTATCTGTTTTGAGATTTGATTGGTGTTTAATTAATTTTCCTTCGAGAGAAATTGAAGAGAAACCATTTTATACTTCTCACATATTTTGACTATAAAATACTAATCATATGGGCTTTGATATTGGGCCTACTGTAGGGCTCTTTTAATGACCTAGGCTAGATTGCTCAAATATAAAAGGTAAACCCAATGTTAGGTGGATCAAAGAGCTGGGCTTTGTTGTTGGGCCTGTGTTAAGACTCTTTCAACGTTTTCGGCTCTGATTTTATACATATGCTAGTTGGTGCTAGGTTGGGTCCGAGTAGAATAAATAAAATTATTTTAAAAAATTATGTTATTTTGACAGTTTGTACTATGTTGCAGGTCTATTAAGATCTATTAAATTAAAGCTAAAACAATCATTTAATTTTATAATTTATTTTTCCTTATGTTTTTTCATAAATTTAGTAGTTAAAAAAAAGATTTGTTCTTATGTATTGATTCTTAAATAAAAATTGAAATAATCTAAATACAATATTTAATCTTTTTTTAAAAAAATACCTTAATATTTTTTTCGTAAGATTGCATAAAAAAAAATAAAATAAAATTTACTATAAAAACTTATACAAAATTAGCAAAAGATTTTTTTTCAGTCTTGTGTTAATGCTAATGAGAAGATTATTTAAAAAAAATATCTACATACATACATACATACACACACACACACACACACGCACATATAGATATATATATTCACAGAAAAAATCAATAATAATACGAGTATAAAAACCAATAATAATAATGTCTTATTAGTATAAAAACCTCGTATTTGAAACATTAAGTGATTTTATGAAAATATTATTTTATTAGAAAGAATTGATTTTAGAATATTAAAAAAATTAATAGCAAATGATTGGTGCTGTGTGCATAGAAATGATCTTTTTTTTTCCCTTTACGTATATCATTGATTATATTTAGTGGATTTAGAGTTTGCAACATAAATACAATATGATTAAATTGCAAGAAATTTATTAAAATTAATAGATTGAAATAAAAAAAATAATGAAATTGATTTCGATAAATTTTAATTATATGAAGAAAAAGAAAATAATACACGTGAATTTCATTTTTTTAATTGATTATTTATTTATAAGGTTTGAGATAAATTATATGAAATATAATTTTAGCTTTTTAACACTCTAATTTAAAAATCATAAGAATCTATCATATGAATTATATCAATACATTTTAAAAAATATAAAATAATCATATTTTCAAATTTTATTCGAGAATCCAACATAGAAAAAATAAATCATATTTATTAAAAAAATAAAATTATATAAAAAAGAAAAATAAAAGATAATTTCATGAGATTTTTTTTTATAGAAAAACGACAAATAGAATAAATTAATTTTAAACAACAAGAGTAATATAATATGGTATATATGTTAATTCTAAATTTTAAAAATATATCATATGTATTTCATTATTGAGAGCTTGTGTAGAAAATAAAAAAATAATTAATTTTCTATATTTTTTCACTCAATTCAATAATAGAATTTTTTAAAAAAAATTAAAAGAAAAACAAAAGAATAAAAAACATTAAAAAGTATTTTAATACACATATATATCAAATAAAAAAGTTCATTTTTTTTTGGGTTTTGATCTACTTCTTCTAATTGTTTTATGGTTTGAAATTCATCATGAATACACTCTTTTACTAAAACAAACAATATAAATACAAGATTGGCGGCAAAACAGTTGAATTGGGGCCGATTGTAGCTTTCTCTCTCTTTTTTTTGTATTTAGGAATCAAATTGCGATACAAATAAAATTGAAAACCGAAGTAGTTTAAAAAAAACATCAACAATCAAAGTGCAACTTAAAAAGAAATTCACATATACATGCCTTAAGACACCTAAAAATTACAAAATTACCACTTCATAGTATAAATGAGTTTAAGTAGATAGTACATTAAGTATGGCTGAATAGTGAGATAAATAGTACAAACTCCATGAGTCTAAGTGAATGATTCATTGAGTGTGGGTATACAGTGACATGGATAGTAGACCCCAAATTTTTAGTGTTTTTGTTTTATATATATTTATATATGAGTGTATATGTGTGTGTAACAGCAATTGTCTCATAGATCCGCATGTTCTATCATACAATTAATTTGTTAACAATGAAGCAACTTCAAAGCATACATCCATGAAGTCATATCCTAATTAAATGAGCTAAAAGATGTAATTATTATTTTTATTAAGTAATTATTGTTTGATGATAAAATTGGATTTAGTAAGGGTGTATAACAATGAAGTTGGTGCAAAAAAAAAAAAAAAAGGGAATTAAAACAAATGAAATTACAAGGTCGAAAGAAGAAAAAAATGGACCTGAATTAGCATGCATAAGATTCACACATAACTTAATTTAGAAGAAATGACTCACTTTGTACTTATATAATAAAATTATTGTCCAATTTATTTTTATATTTTTAATTAAGCCAATTATGTTCTTGTAAACTAAATAAACTGTCAACATATTCTTCTAATAGTATTTTCTGACCACATCATCAACATTAGTCGGATATGAATTAAAAGGGGAAGAAGTTGACACAATTTAGTTATTTTGAGGGCAACATTGGTGCAATTAGGTGGAGAGCGACTAAATCAAACCCTACCCAATAGATGGTGGGCAAATTCCTAGTTTCTCCTTCATCCTTCAAAGATTGCCCTAATGGAGAAAAGGTGGTTTGAGTAAGAAAAGCAAGATTCAAGGTTCCTTCTGTGAGACAAAATGTTTTTGCTACAAGTGATACAGCAATCATGAACATAAGCCTATACTTCATTCCCAAAGAACATGATGAATGAAAGAGAAAAGCAAGGAATCATCCTTCCTCTCCCTTGCTGCTTTTAGTCATCTCCTTTCCCTTTTCTTCCACTTAGAATTTTCTCAAAAAATTAGTTAACCAATCACAGAAAAAAAAAGGGGAAAAAGAAATCCTCTTTACATTTTGCAAATGGTGCTAAATTGTAAAATATATATCTCTTAAACTTGAGAAAAACAAAATACCCTCTAAATTAAGAAAAAAAAATCCTTGATTTTGCTTCCCAAACAATATGATTATTTGAATTTACCCATTGTGTTAGGATTTTATTGAGAAATTAAAAAAAAATCCATAAAATCTTATTTTCTCCAACAACTTAGAAAAACACGGTTGATTAATATAAATTAAAAAAAAGGAGAGGAATTGAAAGGATTTTTTGTTAATTTTTTAGTGAAGAAAAAACTTCAAAAAAACATATTGTTTAAAAAAAATCAATTTTTTTATTTCAAAAAAAAAATATTTATGTTTTCGTTCAAGTTTAGAGATATTTTATAATTTAGCCATTCATTTAATTTATTATTATTATTTATTTATTTTTTGTCTGCTCGCAGCCTAGTGAGCAGCTGCTAATGATATGGGCCAGAATTAGAGAGGCCTAGTGCTCTCATACCAGGCCGGTTCTTGATGACCCTTTCCTTTTCATGTTTGTAAAATAAAATCGGCACCTATTTTTTTCCTTTTTGTTTGTTTAGAGAATGGGTAAAATTATTATTGTTGACGATGGTGCATAAAGAAGTAGGGTTTATCTTTCTCTGTTTTTTTTCAATCAAACAGGGACACTGTAGATTTGTTGGGCCATTTTATGGAGTTAATAAAACTATTTTTTTAATGTCATTCAATAGCTTAAAATTTTGAATTGGGATAATTTTTTTACCATAGTATTATTATAAAATAGTACGAGTTTGGATAAATTTTAAATTTAAAATTTTTTTAGTCCAATGAATGTATTAGTAAATTAAATATAAATTATTTTTTAAACCTCATTTCATAATTTGAGATAATTTTTGACATATTATTTAGAAAAATTCATATCCATTCGAATGCGGGACCTCTAGATTACAATATATCTATTTAGATTTTAGATTTTTTGATTAAAGATAGCATCCATCAATATGCATAGGTCCTGGCTTGCACAGACCATTTGCTCCTCCTGGACTGCATGCAGTACATCCATTCGAATTCGATCTTCTACCAAAATGGATGTGATTGAATTCATACATACCTTATTTAACAAAATTTTCATGTGGTTCCCTTCAATAACCTACTCTTATTTGACCAAATTTGGCATTTGGATTTAATAAATGTTGTCAATTTATGCCTTCTTCAACATCTAACTATTGGATGGTGATTAAATATATACTTAGTTAATGTTCAACATACGTTTGCCGTTATTGGACACATGAGACTTTCAATGATTAGGAAAAAAATTAAAAACTTAGAATCACTACCTAATATTAAAAAAAATTAAAAAAATCTAAAAAAGCAACGTTGTAGAGATTACGGATAAAGAATTGATTATGAGAAGATAAAAATCACCAAAAACATCATTTCATAAAAAAGTTATCAAATTGGTTCTACTCCTAACTTATTTCCTTAAAAATACTATTTGTCAAAATATTTTTAAGTTTATCTTCAAGCTTATATATGCGTTGGGATATTGTGAATTTGTAATTAATCTACAAAGAATTAATTCTTCATATTTTTCTACAGGTCATTTTGGGCATTAAATTTGATTTGGGCTCCAAAAATAACAGTCACATTAATTTAATATCAAATCCCTTTAAATCCTAACACTATGGATATGTTAGGACCAATTTAGTAAACTAATGGCGTGTTTAATTCAAGATTTGAGTCGCAGAACTTTAAAAGCTATCTAAATTATAAAGAGATATCAGTATTTGTCATAATTGTGAGTAAAATCTTATGAGAGATCGTTTTTAGTTTCTAAAATTGGGGAGACTAGTCAATCCCATGTTGCGTTGATCGTAAGCGACAAAACTAAAATTATCCAATTACTTCCACCATAAAATATCTATAACTATGACATAAAAGATAATAAAATCAAAATAAACACCAAATGACTTTAAAATTTGAAATAAGGATTTAAAACATGTACATGTGACACATATTAAAATTTTAAATCAAAATCATACGTCGAACTTGCTCAAATTATTAATAATCCAAAACAGCCCTTAGACAATGTTAAATCTACGAAAGAAACTAAAATAATTTAAAAATAAATACCAAATGACATCTAAAAATTTTAAAATTTGAAACAAAGATCTAAGACATGTACATTTAAAACATATTAAAATTTTAAGACAAAATCATATCCATAACCGATGTAAGTTATCAATAATCCGAGACAACCTTCGGACAACAACAAATTTACTAAAACTAAAAAATATTCAAAATAAACATTAAACGACCTCTAAAAATTATGAGATTTAAAACATAACTCAAAAACAAATACACATTGAACGTATAAAAATTTCAGATGAAACTCATTTTCAGAATTAGTTCAAACTATAAATAATCTGAAACAGCCCTTCGACCATGTAAAATCTACAGAAGAAACTAAAGGATCCCAAAATAAATACCAAATGGAACGAAGAATTATTGAAAATTGAATCATAATGCAAAGACACACAAATCTAACTCATGTAAAAATTTCGGATGAAAATAACAATAATATCCACACAAAATAGCTAAATAACCACAACATTCCCTTAAAGTGCTATTCTTGCTGAATCCAATTTCTTCAAAATTAAGAATGCAATTACAAAGATCAGTTATTACTATATACTAAACTGAAATATACAATTTTAAAGCTAAAACCCTAAACCTTCCTTGTGGTGCCAATTTTACGTGAAATGCGCTTCTACTTCAAAAACAGATTCCTTCTCCTCGTTATTTTCTTTCCTATTCTTCTTCTCCCTCAACTGCCGAGTTTCATAACTCCATTTTTTTTTTTAAGTTTTTTCTTTCCTTTCCTCTACCCCAGACTGACCGACCCTGTTTTTTTCCTTCTTATTTTCGTTCTACCTTCTACGCCATTCAAAATTAACACTTTACTGACAATCTTTTTTTTTTTTTTAATCAACCTCACTCATGTGTTACCAAGGAAGATAAATGTACCCAATGAAAAAAAAAAAAAACAGGACTGGAAAACAGGCAAAAAAGCCAGAAAAATGGCAGAGAAAAAAATAAGATTTGGTTAGAGTATGTAAGAAGAGTTTTGTCCAGGAATATATTTCTCTGTCACATATATGTCTGTCTATGTTTAATACCAATTTTTATTTGGGGTATTTCCAAGTCAATTTTTTCATTATTAATACTAAGTCCATCACTTTTCGAGTTAGATCAACAATAAATAACACTTAGCCTTAGATCAATTTTAGGAGCTGAGTGCTAGACAAAGGAAAAATCAAATCTCTTAATTTGATGAATCGAAAGAAATCTTAAATCCTTGATGTTACCATTTTCTCGTTTGTCTCGTTTGTTTGTTTTTTTTTTAATGAAACCAAGACTCGCTTAAATGGTTCATATCTAGCAAACTCCCCATAAAAATAAGTTTAAGCATGTATTTGTAAGGAATATTACTAATAAATTTATTTATTTTGAATATTTTACTAATTGTTACTTGTGATACGGATCCGGAAAGAGCTAACGAAGATTATAACCGTACATTAGAGATCAACTCGGAATCTAAGTGTCTTCTCACACAACGGATGGATAATTATCTTGTACATGTATTAAATCTCATCAAGTTCAATGATTTCTCTCTTGTTCAAGATTTTTTAAAATGTTATCTTATATTTTTTATTCATTATTATGAATAAATGTCAAGAGTTTTTTTTTTTTCATAACAAGGCACTTTTAAATCTTGTTTACCATAATATGATAGTTTTAAACTTATTTATCAAAATAAGGTACTTTATGTTACATAGGAACCATCTCATTTATGTTACTTGATATGTCAGTTTTTTTTTAAATTATTTTGTTAAATAAATTTTTTATCATTACATGTTAATCTCCTATTTTTAAATTATTTTGTATAATAATTATGCATGTTCCGATTTGGTTTAAAGGCTAGATGGACGCAAGCTCCTTCCAGGATCGTATCTCTATTGGGTCTTCGACTCGTCTATAGCGTAGATCGATACTCTCTATATATGGTCGATTGATTTTTTTTTTCGCTCAACCGGCAACTACGATTGCCATTTGATTTTTACAAATTGCAAATTTGCTCGGTTGCATCTAATAAAGAGAAATTACCATTACACAGGATATAGTTTTAGATTTTGCTTAGATCGAACAACATTACCGTCATCATCGAATTTTTCTTTACCAGTTCAAGGGTTCCTCTTTTTTGAAAATTATACAATAGCAACAATGCTTTGTATGGTATTGTAGTTTGTACATATTGGGTCTCTTGACTCCATTTTTTTGCTAGCTAATGGTGTATTCATTTTTTTGTTCACGATTTGGTTTTTTCGCAAGTAATATTTATTTGTGCTCGAACTCGAATTTATTCATTTTCTATGATTATTTTGTGGTTTTTCTTATACACTATTTCATTAGGAATTTAAATTCAAATATTATGAAATTTAGATCTTTCTTCCCGAATTTTAGATTATTGTGAATGAAATTCGATTACTCGGAAAGTGACAAATATACTACCGTAGATAAGATACCAATGGCCATTAAAAGCTCCAATCTTTAACATAGACAAGCATGGAAAAGCAAATGGGCTACTTATTTACTTGTGATTTGAAGAGGAATTGACTCGGTCTTCAAATATTTAAGTCAATGGAGAAGAATTTTAAGATTCAGCTCTCAACTCGCACCATTGTTGTGTTCCGGACATGTTAGGAGAGTCGGTGGGGTGATTGAAGCTTATGAGTTTGTTAAACAATTGGGTGAAGCTGGCAATGTGTTGGAAATTTAAGGATCACTTCTTGGGACTTGCGGACTCCGGGGACACATTGAATTGGGAGAAGTCGTTGCAAAGAAGTTGCTTGAAATGGAGAAAGTATGCAACATTACAGGCTATCATGTTTTGCTGTCCAATATATATGTTGATGAAAGAAACTAGATACATGTTGATAAAGTAAGGAAAGAGGTGAGGGAAAAGGGTTTGCAGAAGGAAGTTGGCTCCAGTTGGATTGATATTAGAGGTTATGTGGCTCGATTTGTGTCGAAAGATCAAGACCACCCTCAATTGGATTGAAACATCTTTTATGTTTCTATTTTTTAAAAAAAATTATTATATTAAATATGTATTATAACACTTAATTAAAAAGATGACATGGATGCCTATATAGCAAAACTACTCCTTTTTTATAAATAAGATTTAAAGTATCTTATTTTAGAAAAATAGATTAAAAAGTACGCTATTTAAGAAAAAAAAACTCTAAATGTCAACCACATGTTGTTATGAGGAAAAAGTGGACAACCAATTACAATAATCCTTTCATTAGATTTGATTTTTTTCTCATATGCCTTCTCGCTTTTTGACATAATTTCAATCGATCTAATTCAATATACATTTTATAAAATAAATATCATTATTAACTCGGAATTTGAGCGTCTTTCAACATAAAGTGTGGATATATAGTTATTTAATTTGAGTATTTTGTTTTCGCTATTGAAATTATCCCCTATAATGTTTGGCGACCACAAGGCGAAGCCGAAGGCATTGTAAATATTATAGGAAAAGAAAAAGGTATGTATGGAGCAATTCCCCCTCTCTCCTTCTCTCTAATGTGTTTGTTATGATTATAAAGTTTGATAAGGATGTAGTTTGAACTATAGCTATATTATGTTTGAATAGCTATTATCTAGCAAGTTGTTGTATGTCAAATTAGAATTTATAATTCAAATAGAATTGGCTAGGAGTTTCTTTGTATACAACTTTATAACTAAAGATCTACAACAATACAAACTTAAACTTCAAAGACTCTAAAAATATTTTCATGGTATCGCAGTCATATAAGGTTTAAATAGCCAACTCTTTCTTCTTTTTTTTCTCTCTTTTCCTTTAGACGTCTTTTTCTTCTTCTTTTATTTTTCCATGGCTAATCATCCAGCCAATTAACTTGCTCTCTAAAAATCCAAAATTACCACCACCTATCCCAACATCGAAGCTCAACTCCATCAACTATCTCGCTATGAAAGACCCAAATACTCTTATTATTGTGAGAATACAAACTCACTAGCCATATATAGTAGTGCTACCGTGCCTCTTGAATTTCTTGATGAGGCCACCACCGATCTTAATCTTGCTTATATACAATGGTATTTTTTTTGTGTTTCTCATCCACCTTTTAGATCCTTAAAGTCGCTCGTTGGTACTACTCATCATCCCGATAATCGTAGAACCGTGGTGTGATAGGATGAGTAATACTCGGAATGCATGTGATCTAAAATCTCACAGCTTTATGCTTCTTCTTCCCTCTTACATCTTTTAGATATATCTAGCCTATGTCGACATCTAGCGATAATAAATCATCCTTGGATAATCGGCTAGTCGCTTCTTTATACAATGAGTCCAAATGCTCATACGTAATTGAAAAAATTATAATATTAAATATAAATTTAATTTTTAAAATAAACTAGCATATGTATAATTGAAAAAATAAAAAACTTACCTTAACTATCCGGGACCGTGTATTAACGGATGACCCGTCCATCCGTTTGTGATTCCTTATGAATAACTCGTAAGAATTTGAGAGATGCAATAATTGTAAATATTAATTTATAACATAATGGATAATAGGATTTACTATCCATGCAGCGTGCTTAATCCATTAGATGGAACCCCCCATATGTCTAGATAGGCCAAGCATTGATACCACTATTCTTGCTTATGTAGTTTTGAGCCACCTATTCGAACGGGCTCGAAACTCAAGTATCGCCCAATCCTATCGCTATACATCCCACACCTACTCCGGGATAAATGAGAGCTTGGTCTCCTTCTTCTTCGAACTAGTCAGCATGTCGGCATAACACTTTCGTGCTCGACGCTTCCACGCTACTTCAACTAGCACGTTGATGGCTTCCTCTCATATAAAGTACTTTTATAAGAAGAAAAAACAATATTGGTATATTTCATGTTAGATTTACTGAAATAATTTAAATATAATATAAATAATTAATTAATATGTTACTTTAAACTCATTTCAGTAGAAATCTTTTGTCTCCTAGGAGATTGACTTTCATGTAGAGTCGGCGAGGTCCAATCATTTTCTAAAAATGATGGTGATCTACCAAGTCAATTTACTAGATGAATACAAACTTTCAAACACAATAAATAAAAAATCGATAAGTGAATTAATGAACCAAATAGTATACCAAAATCTAAAAGTAATTAAATGTCATTGATTATACAAATGGTCCGATCATAATTAGACCTAAAAGTGTCACCTAGAGCAAAAGAAAGCACCGAGTGCCTTTGGCCCTCGACTCACGAGATGTCTTTTAAGGGGAGTAAGTGAGGGAGAAGACACTAATATTGACGATGCAAAAGTGTTGGGCACGTGTCTTGAATTAGAAGCATGACTACGACTATAGCCACTACCACTATTATTGACAAGACCATCAAATTTGGCCGAATAGGATGCTAAGCAAGGACATTCCAAACATAAGTCATCGCTCCTATAGTATTGCATGATATATTTAAAAAATATAACAAATAAAAAACAACTTGACTACCTTAGGTTTTATATATTTTTTTCCTAAAAATCAAACAAAAATTTGAAAAAATCTCTCGTATAAATTGGATATCTCCTAATTACCAAAACTTACGATGATCCATTAAACCACGACCTCTTTCTTCTATTAAAGAGGGTCATTTCCTATAACAAGGTACTTTATGCCCAATTGGATCATTTCATTTTAATAGATTGACATGTCGACTTTAATTTGTTTTTGCTAAAAAAATTATGTTGTCGTTCTAAAATACTCGTTTCCTTCTACCGTGTTCTCTCCGTATCAACACGTGGCTTATGTTTTTTATGCCTTCAATAGCTATTGCAAGAATGATAAGATGAAGCTTCAAGAGCATGAGGACTTTGGAAAACGGACATTACTTTAACAATACTTGATCGGATTATTAGAAGCCCTTCCTTAATCATTTTTATTGATGCAACGAATGTACATATTAAAGATTTTAAATTTTTAATAACTATTTGTTTGTTCATTCGATCAAGAGAACTATATACCCACCAGCTCACCATAAAAACCACCAACGCTTTATCCTCTTGGCACCCTTTGGTCCAATCTAAATTTGTATCCCGACGTTGATCAAGAGAGGGGTTTATAGACAAAACTTGCATAAGCCATCTATAAATGATCAACATTAACGGATATGCATAAGCATCATAAGCATCAACATGATGTAGGCATACGATTCTCTTGATAAAAGTGAACAAACAAATAGTTATTGAAAATTTGAAATCTTTAATGTGTAAAAAATTAGGACAAGACAAAAAAAGAGAGACAAAGAAAGCATAAATTAATTTTTTCTTTTATATTTCTATTTTTTAAAATTATTATATTAAATATAAATATTGCAACACTTAATTAAAATTACGACATGAATGCTTACATGGAAAAAATACTCTTTTTTTATAAATAAGATTTAAAATACTTTATTTTGGAAAAATAGATTAAAAAGTATCTTGTTTAGGAAAAAAAAACTCCAATTTTTTGATAGCTAAGAAACATTGAAGTGATAAGAGTTTATTGTAAATATGGGATTCATTGTTTTGGTCGTTGTAAGCAGTTCTATTTTGCATGTAATAAAGTTTATTTATGAGGGACATCTTTGTAATACTATTATGCCAATGATGCCAAATATTGAATTATCAACTGTTCATGGGACCACAATAATTAAAATCGAGAGCTTTAGATTATATTATATCTAGATCATACATTTTTTTCATTGAAGGTAGTATCCATTGATATGCCTTCCCTACTTAAACTCTCCTATCTCACTCCATTTTTTGGTTTGCACATATCATCCTTTCGAATTTGATCATGTATCGCATCCATTTCTATCAAAATGAATGTGATTGAATTAATGCATATCATGTTTAATAAGTTTTTTTTTTGTGTGGTGCAAATATTAAGAAAAAAATATGTGGAAATTGAATGTATTTTACTATCAAACAATACATCTCATGAATTAGTTTACACACATTCTTGTCAATCTATACAAAAAATGTAATCTATAAATTAAAACTAATTGATTCTATAATTTTCTGAAATTAATTGTAATCAATCTTCCAAGATCCTTCAATCAATCACTAAGAATAGTGTGAAGAGTTAATGATGAATTGATATGTTAATCACCAAGAATAATGGTGGATTCCTTCAATCAATCACTAAGAATAATGCTAAGAGCAATTGTGAATTGATATCGAAATCCACCAATAATAATTGTGGATTTTGATATGTTAACAACATCAATCAAATATTTTCATGTTGCATAGTTTTGATCTTGTCGTAACATTGTATGATGAACTTTGGATGTCCAATTTTTTGACTTGAAATTTAAAAGGGCAATCGAGAGCCGATTGAAGAAATGTTTTGACTTAAAACATAATTAGTGTTTAAAAGTACTTTAAATGGAATTATAGTTAAATATAAAGGAAAAAAATTGAAATAAATTCCAAATGTCATCTAAAAATTCTAAAATTAAAATAAAACAGATCTAAGACATGTACATATGACACATTAAAATTTCATATCAAAATCATACGTCGAACTAACTCAAATTATTAATAACCTCGAGCAAGTCCTTAGACAATATCAAATCTACGACAAAAACTAAAGAAATTTAAAATAAATACCAAATGACATTCAAAAATTCTAAAATTTGAAGAAAAAAAAATCCAATACTAATACATGTAAAACATATGAAAATTTAAGGCCAAAATCATACCCATAACTGATTCAAATTATTAATAATTCCAGACAGTCCCTGTATACCAACAAATCTATGACAGAAACTACGGAAAATAAATAAATATCAAACAACCTCAAAAAATTTTGAAATTTAAAAACTAACTCAAGTATAGATACTTGTTGAATACATAAGTAAAGGGCCATAATACCAAATTGGTTCTTTTAGGCTTCAGAAAGGTTAAGCTACCGTCACAAGAGGGCCCCAAAAGATTTCTAACATTCTCTGCTCTTTTTTTTGGCCTTTCCTATTCAACTGTCCAC